GCCCCCCCCCCCCCCCTTTCCCCTATACATTTTGATATAGCAGAACAGTGTCTTTAGAAAAGGATGGCCATACTGTACCGTGTTGTGTGTAGAAAGAGAAGCTTTGACTTGACTGCAGAATGATGTGCAACGCACCTAGTGACCTTGATGCACTTCACCATTGACGATCCACTAAATAATAAAATTGCTAAAATTTAAAATATGCACAATAACGCACCAAATCAGGTTCTCCGCGAACAACTTTTCTTATTTTGAGACGCTGATTCCGAATATGAAATCAGTTTTTACCTACGATGATTATTTAAAAAAAAATTGAGCTTTGAGTTTAATTCTGCGCGGCGGCAAGTTTACAAGGGAATATAATATACATGTTACAACTGGCGATTTATCGTACGATCAGATCGTCCAGTTTTTGTACAAATTATCGTTACGTGTAACCGGGCTTTTACCGATAATTTCAGTAAGCCGTGACTTCAACACACAACACGGTACAGCATGGCCACCCTTTTCTAAAGACACTGTACGTTCTGCTATATCAAAATGTGCAGGGGAGGAGGGCTCTCGTGATCTAGAGGTACAAGGGTTCGCCTTTCAACTTTCATTCATTAGGTCCAGAGCTCGAAACCTTCACATAGAGTGCAGGCAAATCGATGTCACAAAGAATCTCCTCGACCGATAGAAAACTGGACGATAGATTGGGAATGGAAGGTGTAAACAGACAACAACGTTCGATAAAAGGGTTGCCATACTGTAGGCCTACCGTGTTGTGTGTAGAACGGTAGCTTTGACTTGACTGCAGGTGCAACGCACCGAGTGACCTTGATGCACAGCGCTCGCTTCACAATTGACGATCAACTAGGCTAAATAATAAAATTGCTAAAATATTATACTTAATAACACACCAAATCAGGTTCACCGCTGTGCAAAAACTGGAGAACCTAGATCTATGTTCGATAATTGAGGAGATATTTGAAAATAAGCCGCACCACGCATTTTTGACCGCACTATATAGTTGATCGTTAAGGGCAGGGGCGGCTCGTGGGGCTAAAAAGTGGGCGTGCACAATTTAAGCTATCGCATGCTGAAGAAAGAAGATAGTCAAGGGCATAGTAAATGAGACTGTGTATAATTTTAGGATCTTTGGGTTGGTGAGGGAGGGCCTCGTGCTTTTATTTTCATTCTTTTTACTTGTCGCTTTGATTTCTAGTACTAGATTTGTTTGGTAGCGAAACATCAATTTCGTTCATCCTGTATTAGAACTGAACAATCAAGTACATGTAGATCTAATAACTTTCACTACTCCACTACAAAACAATTCAAAGGCACAACTCATAAAACGGTCACGTTCACCTCCCTTAGGTTCACGGTTACAGAGTCACTTAAAATAGAGGCAAGACAAACAATGAACCAATCAAAATTCACTTGAGCACTCCGCTGGATTGCTCTGGGGCTCACATAATACTGGCAAAGAATAGCGTAGGGTCTATCGTGTTTATTTTTAGACTGCCTACTGCGGGCTATGTTTCGGCACTATTCGGCAGGAGCACATCTGAGATGTGCCGGCTTATTAATATTAATGTACCGCCAAACTGGCTACGAGCGTCGTTATCGCTTGGGTTATCCACAAGTACCACAAGAGCGATTTATAGGTCAAGTTACACGGTTGAATATCTTTTTCTGTTTAGTTTAAGCGCGTGGACTTTGGCATAGCATAGTAGATGTTTTACGGCGCTATAGACATAGAAATGACAGTTATGGCGCCAGTGAGGACCTTTGTTTTGGTATAATATTTGGCTAGTGTTTGTTTATAGCTTCTTTTGTTTTATTATTGTGGGTGTTTTACGTCCGAGAACATTAAAAAAATTTGGGCGGCACTGCACTACCGTGCTCTATGGACGAACCGCGCCTGGTTAAAGGTGAAGCTGTGCATCAATATCACTCGGTGCGTTGCACATCTGCAGTCCAGTCAAAGCTTCTACTTCTACATACAGCAAGGTAACAGTATGGCCACCCTTTTCTAAAGACACTGTTCTGCTATATCAAGATATACAGGGAAGAGGGGGCTCTTTTGATCTAGAGGTACAGTGTTCGCCATTCATTCATTAAGTCCACAGCTCGAAACCTTCACACAGAGTACATGTACAGACAAATCGCAGACGTCGCAAAGAGACATGGTTTTATGACGAGGAATGTCCTCGATCGAAAGAAAACTGGACGATAGGTCGGAACGTGTAAACAGACAACACAGTTCGATAAAACGGACAGTTCTTTCATACGACGAATCTGATACGATTTATTGCATTCTCTCATGTGCTGCCCGGTTACACGCAATAATAAATGGTATCAGATTGGATGAAAAGTGGTGGAGTTATTCCAAAAAGTTTAGAGAAAAGTATCGTTTTGAGAAAACGGCCGATAACGAAAAAAAAAAAGACTTTATGAGGAAATGGTGGTGACACACATGCCCGGTATGGGAAGAAATTGGGTTTTTGGGGGTTCCTATAAGATGAAATAGTTGTAAGAGAGGCAGAGGAAGCTAAAAATGCACACAACTCAAATTCCATAATTTTTAGCCGGCTCAACGTCTTTAATGTTGATTCAAGCACACATTCCTGTGTGGATTTTACAGAAAATCGTTGATTAAAGGAACAGAAAATGTAAGTTTTCAGCTCTCAAGCTACAGAAATAACCAAACTTTGGCTGCCGTTTTAGTTTTAGTAAAGGGTTTACAGCGCTCGCCACTGCATATTAAGGTCATATGAGCGCAAAGGGGTGGATGTCAACAGAGAAGTCCTTATAGGGAATCAGACTTACTCTGCTAACCTCTCTAGCTTCAAGAGCACAATAGGTCTGCTGTATCAAGGCATCCCGGAAATGACAGGTCACAAGAGTGTGACAAACATACAAAAGAAGTAGAGGAAAAATGACGATAGTAAAGATTAGAAAAGAAAAGCAGCAGTTCCCTGTTGCAGTTCAGGCACAGTTATGAGCAGGACATCGATGAATCAGCCCATTTACAATTCTATCGTGCACAAGAAGACACTTCAGCCAGCAGCACCGCCCCAGGGGGGGGGGGTAATTTAACGTCTGAAACATGGCGACTTCCACCTCTTTCAATTGCAGATACCTCGACTTCTATTCAAGATAAATATATTTTTTTTCATTGAATGCAAGACACATGATTAAGCTTTAAGATGATACCAAAAACTCCGCAGGCCCAAAACAAAAATTGACGAGGGCCTGATTCCACCTCGTCGTGACATATTAACCGCGGGTCGGCAAAATACTAACTGGAACTGAGAACCCTCTCGATAGAAAAAGAAAGACACCAGGCGATTACCAATCAGATAATAGTATTATGCTATATACACCGCTGACTGACGTTCTATAGCCTCCCCCCCCCCCCCCAAATTGTGGGACGCACAGCACCAGATGTTAACAAAACATGCTACTGCTAATACACTGTACACTTTAAGTAGTGTTGAGTCTTCTGTTGTACTGTTTTACCTTTCCATTGACAGAATTTAGACCATTAACAATGTGGGCTGCTTTGACTCGACCTGTCGCAGTGAAATCTGCCATGTAGGCTACTTTAGAGCCAGATACATTCCAGGAAAATGTTTAGTTTTGGTAAGAGTTTCGGGGCACATGCAAAACAATAAGGTTGTATATTAATATAAGTGCCAAAGATTTGAGGAGTTACTAAAGAATAACATACAAAACAAGGAGGAAAGACAAGGACAATAGATGTTTGATTGGAAAGAAAAAACAAAACACAGCATGGCACCTGCCAACCACCCATCCAAGAAAAAGGTGAAGATACTCAATGGAAATCCTATTCTCACCCATGCAGACTTCAACTCCCATCTTTCCAATACAAGGCCTAACCATGGCACAACAAGCATCAAATTCAAAAAGACAATCAAGGGCTTACACCACTCGTTTCTGACATTGATAGACAAACAATGTCACAGTGGTACACTATGAAGTACGAGGACGACAGTGACAAAGCAATAACCAAAAAAACACACATTTAGATCACAAAAAATGGGTTTATTTCATAGCCCATGATAATGATACATTTACATTCATTTGACATTCTCAACTATGTATGTATATTTTATTAATGAATGCTATACACTGACTAGTGAGCATCTATAAAACATGTGCACAACTTGACAAATTGAAATGAGTTCTACAAATACCATAAAATTGCTAATTTCCCTAGACTTAGACCAGAAGAATAGCAGAAAGATGAAAACAAGAAAAATACAAATACATGTATTGGCTATCTATAGTCCGTAATAACTAGACCTCTGTCAATGAGTACAAAAAACACAATTTGAGCCAAAGAAAGTGAGGGTTGGGGAGTTGGTGTTTAGGGGCAGGCAACACATGAAAAGGGTGTTAGGCATCGGAGATATCCACCCCTCCCCCCAAATTACAGGTCCAGTGTTGGCCCTGGCTGATACGAAGATATCCCACCATTCTCCGCTTTCCGCTCATGACACAAAACAGAAAAATCCACAAGAGCCAGCAAGCCAAAAGTAGCTCTCTCTACTTGATAGAAACCTGATAACCATGATAAATAAAGTAATATAACGTTTTAAGAAAGGCAATAAACATTTTGGAGACAAGCTGACCACCAGACAAACACCTGTTGCTGGTTGGTTACAACAACTGAAATACACACACCACGTACCAAAATTTTGTCAGTTGTACAACATAGGCGTAAACATATAACAATAACTGTAGGCCTACTACAAACAGGTGAATACCCCATTTCATGATCCAGTAAAAAAAGATGTCAAGGATTGCTACCTGCCCACCCCTATGTTGCGCAAGTGACAATTTGTGCACTGATTAAATACATCCATCTACACGATATACCAGATGTATGAGTGAGTCTTCTGATTAACATTGGACCGCAATATATTTGATTGCGGCGAATCTCACACTCTATTCGCCCTCACAATCTCACCAGAAAAAAAAAAGATACCCTCAGTCTTCTGAACAGATTTTCCAAACACAAAACAGAAATAAAATTACACCACATCATCTGGGAACTAGTCTTTGCCACAACAGCCATGAACACAACATGCACACATACACAGTCATGTAAAGGCCTAGAGCCAAAGGTGGTTCAAAAAGGTCACACGGACATTATATACATCAGTAAGAGGTCATGATTATAAATATTTGTTAACAGTGACACCTTCAAAGTAGGCTACTTTGAAGTAAAAGACTCTAAGAGCAAGAGGCAGGGAGGAAGGACAAGAAACAGGTTGCATCACTATATTCAATTTTAGAACCCACAAAACTGAAGGAAATTCGAAGCTAGCTACACGTCTTAGGTCATATCAAGCGTCAATCCTCGGATAGTTTTCTTTGAAACATGGTTATCAAGGACACACAGTGACATGGAGTAGCTTCGTACATAGTTCATAGGCAGTCTTACGGAGGGGGACTCTCATAGACTGTTGACGAACAGGCCTCTTATATTATCTAGAGGCAGTAATAATATATGAAATCAGTCACCCATATCACAGATTGACCAAAAGACCATAGTTCTAATAACAGACAGCTACACAAAGTGACCACCAGCCCCCTAATTACACAACCTGAAAACTCTTTCTCTCCCTGTTACATGACACACAAAGAAAGATAGAATCACATAAGAAATGGCAAAGTCAAGATCACAGTGAATTTTTTGCAGCTAACATGAAAGGATGTTGACCTCTAAGTCCCCCTAAAAAGTGGAATGTCAAAATGAATCAGGAATATTTTAAAATGTCTATCCCTGCACAAAAACATTAGTGTCATAAAAGAATTTAGTTAGTGCAAGAAGGATCCAAAATATATTACATATTTCATGTAATAATTAACTCGACCCAAGAGTTGAATCAATGGATAACTAAGGCCTCTGTTTTTTTGGTTTTGTCATGACAGTTCTCACCCACAATGAAAATATTGTTTTGCATGATATTGCCACTACTCACAATTGAGTTTTAGGGCCACTATGTTTCTAGAAAACTTGAAGCACTGCTGGCGGTAAAATGTGTGAAACATTAATTTGTTGACACTCATTTCACACCAAGCCTTTCGAGTTTCACTCTTGATAAGTCAAGTACAAGAATGCGTAGGAAATTGCATTTCACTGGTGCCAAAAACAGTTCAATTGCAAAGTAGAATAATGGTGTATGTAATGGCATCCACCTCCGTCTAGCGCAACCACAAGAAATAGGCCCTATACACACCAGCCCTGGAATGCACCACACGATTGAGCAACATCTAGCAGCCACCTTTCTCCCAGACACTTCAGCCTTTCAGGTTTCTCACAGGGAAAGATTAAGTAGTCTACGAGACATGCAGGGATCATTCTACGCAACAGACCTAATCTAGATGAGATAGGAACCGGTATTTAAAGGTTATGACAGTCATGTCATGCGTTAGAAAAATCAGCAACAGGAATTGAATTGTACACCACTTTTCACAGACTTGAGTTATAATTTCAGAAAGCATACAAATACACAGACACATACATACACACAAAATACTCATTTGGGGTGCTTACCTACTTTGCAGAGACTTACTCACACGCAAAAAAAATTACTCATCGAGCTAACTTTGAGGGACAAAAAAAAAAAAAAAAAAAAAAAAGAAAGGAGACGTTCTCCCATTCATAAGAATATGCACACACATTTGTTCACACTCAAGAAGAGTCCAGCATTCGCTCATTACAGTCCATGTACAGTGTCCATCACAGCTGTTGGTCCAAGACTACGCTAACCTTGACCCTCATACTATGCCTTGATGGGATTTGGGCCAAACCCGGGCTGCTTGGCATCCTGTGCCTTGCCGAGGTACTCCCTAGAACAGATACAAAGGTTATTAAAATATCACTGGCGGGTCATGGAATATCAACAAATTCTTGGCTTGTATCAGGGAAAGGGGGAGAGGGTGAAAAGAGAGAGAGAAGAGAGGATGGGGAGAGAGAGAGAGAGAGAGAGAGAGAGAGAGAGAGAGAGAGAGAGAGAGAGAAAGAGAGAGAGAGACAGAGAGAGAGAGGGAGAGAGAGAGAGAGAGAAAAGTATGTATATTTGTGAATATAAACCTTGCTATAGAGCACATACTGCATTTACAGTACATATTATATATACATATAATGATCATTACACCTGTTACAAAGTGAAAAAAAAAACCCAAAGAAAAACTATAGTCAAGTTATGTTCAAAACTGCAGAGCTTCATAAATGGATGTCTAAGAAGGATAGTGGGGATCAAGTGGAACGATCGAGTCACAAATGCTCAACTGTGGAAAAGAACAAGCCAAAGGGCAGTAAAGGAAGACATACAGGTGAAGAAATGGAAATGGATTAGGCACACCCTGAGGAGACTCCCGACAAGCATCATCAGACAGGCTTTGGCGTGGAATCCACAAGGAAAACTTAAGAAAGGAAGACCAAAGATGACATGGAGGCGAGCGGTACAAGCAGAAATGAAAAAAGGGGGGGGGCCTTGAGAAATGTTGATGGCCTATGCTCCACTGGGAGTTCAATAGAGCAAGAGAGAGAGAGAGAGAGAGAGAGAGAGAGAGAGTTATGCTGAGACACTACGTCGCCTCAGGACTATTATTTTGTCCAAAGTTTACTTAAATAGAGAGTGACTTTGAGCAAAATAGTTCTTAGGCGACGATTACTCTAACAATTACAGATAGATACTCCATAATACCAAAAAAAAAAAAAAAAAAAAAGGAAAGAAAGAAAAGAAATACAAATATAGCCTACTTTTTTAAGTACTGGAAATTGAATCGGAGTCTGAAACTAAAAGAGAACAAAACACTCTCCAGCCATGACTGTTTCACAATTAGCATAGCAAGTGGTCATTACCAAGCTGACTTAATGTTTACTTGAACATCATTACAGCAAAAAATCATAACCCGTAAAACAAACCCCTAAAACAACTTGATTATCTTCTTATGTTTTAGTTTTAGTAGAGGTTTTACGGCGCTCGCAACTGCCTAAGGTAATATGAGCGCCAGAAGATTAGAGGTGTTAAAAGAGAGTAACAAACATAAAAAAGATGGAGGGGAGACAAGGACGATAGATTTTTAATAGGAAAGAAGAAGCAAACCACACCAGAGCACCCGCCAACCACTCACATTATCTTCTTAAAACCTCAGCAAAAGACAGAAAAGAAACAAACAACAAGACTCTCACCAGTTATGGACCATAATCTTTTGCACTGCAATGAGTGCCTCGTATTTGACATTGGGGTCAGAGTGCATCATAAACTGCATCACCATCTGCTTGCCGCCCAGCTGTTCCACGATGCTGGGGGAAGTAAACACAATCGTATGGTTTAGTTTTAGTAAGAGTTATATTATGGCATTTGTAACACAAGAAGGTCATAAAAGTAGAGCTGATCAGAGGTGTTACTAGAGTAACATATCAGTTAGTTTAGTAGAGGTTTTACAGCTCTCACAACTGCATAAGGTCATATGAACGCCAGAAGATGAGAGGTGTTACAAGAAAGTAACAAACATAAAAAAGAAGGGGAGATAAGGACGATAGATGTTTGATAGGAAAGAAGAAGTAAATCACACCAGAGCACCCACCAACCACCCACTAATATATCAGGAAAAGGAGGAGAGATAAAGAAAATAAAGGTTTGATAAAAAAGAAGAAGCAAACCACACCAGACCACCTTCCGACGATCAACAAAATACAGTCAACACACAAACATGGACACGCACAGAGAAATATATCCTGTCACCATCTCCATACAAAATTTACACAGTTTTGCAACACAGGAGGAACATACAAACACACACAGACACATTGACTGTTATCATATTTGCAGTAACTTAAGTCAAGACTTCACTCAATTCTATCTGCAAAGACATTGACAGACACTTTACACATTACCATCGTCATATTGAGTTTGAAATTGCTCAATACTGTTAACAAACATACACATTAACTGTCTTGATCTTCACATAAAACTTCATGACTGAAAGTCTTCTCAGTACAACTATGACACACACACAAACACCCAAACACCAACAGACACTTCACAGGCTGGGTTTCACCAGTAGGCTGTAGGTGGCTGATCCACCTCTAGTTCAAAATGCGGTAACAAACAGTAGACACTTACTTCTTCCCCCTTGGGTAGTATCTCACATACTCTCCAATGTCGTGAGCAGCAACAGACAGAATCAGTGGGTCCTTGCTGGTTTCCAACAACTTGATTAGCATCCTGTGTACAATCAACACAACAGATTATTTTTTTTGTTTGCCCATCTGTTTGTTAGATCATTTGTGAGCCTTCTTGACAAAATGAGTTACTTCTCGGATTTTGGCAGAACGAATAAAGATATGTGAAACTGATAGGTTGAGTTCGTATGATTTATTAGTATGAAATGATAAAAGATGTGTTAAACTTGAAGAAAATAGCATAAGTTGAAAATGTACAAATTCAACCCCAGCGTCAACTTTTGGCCAATGTCTCCAATAATGAATTGCAAGAAGCAACTCATTTTGTCAGTATTCTTCCTATTTGTTCATTCTTTGTAAACTTTTGATTTGAAATGAATTTTACTAAGATTATGAGAACTCTTGACCCATGCATATTTTGAATCCATTTTAAATGTAGAAATGCAACAGATTCATGTTTTTTACAAGTAACATTTCATACACAAATGTAGTTCCAACAGAGGTTACATTTTTTGCTCTTATTCAAACAATAATTCCATTCCTTATTTGCAGTTAGAGCCTGTTAAGAAACTCTTTAGGCTTTTCCCAATTGAACATTAACGACATGAGTTCCATTCTCACTGGGAAAAATCTATTTCATGAAGCATCACTGTCTTAACGCTGGGATGCTATATAATATCCCACACACAACACATTGGCCTTGATAAACAGGGTTGGAGAAGCCTGCTGTCTAAATAATGTAAATGGCATGGAAGGTGGTGTAAAACTACATATACAGTTGACATTGCTCAAATGACCACCCATTGTCAACGAGAAAAGTGGTTGTCTTAAAAATTACGCATTATTGTGAGGCACCAGGACAATGAAGGCGTTAATACAGAAAAAAAATGTGCGGGGTGGGAAGTGGCCATTTGTACAGGTGATTGTTTTGGACAGGTAGCCATTAGAGCAAGTTTGTATAAAGTTTGCACAAACATTGAGGTACCCCTTACTTCATAATACTACAATGTGAGCCTTTGTCAATAGGTGGGGGTTTCTTCACATACTTTACAAAATACTTTCCTATTTCAATAAAAAATGGTGCTACAGCTGTGAAATTTGTATATATGTTGTGCTTAATATGTTTCAGTTATGGGAGCAGAGAAATAGCAGTCGGGTCATCAGAAGAAATCTTACAAATATTTTTAGTTCTGAAATTGATGTATTTTTAGAATGCAAAACGTGGTGTGTCGAGTTTGTACTTTTCTGTTGTCAAGTTCAACAATGAAATAATTGCTAAGAAACTCGTCCTCCTACACTTTTACAACTATAACTACATTATTAGTGGTGCTATATCAGGAATAATCATATCTGTAGCTGTATTTTCTTTGTGAGCCTTTCTAGATACAAATTTCTCCCTGCGAGATGAAAAAAGATTGTCATTGTCATCATAGATTTTCATTTTCAAGCATAACTCGTATGGTCATTTCGCAAAGCAACTTCGATTCCCCCTGACTTTGTTTCTATCGGTTTCGGATCGAGCATAATATTGTTCAATGTTTACTCAATGCGCTGACAGATTCCGAGGCTGTGATCGCGCGTGATTTTGCAGTAAACGGAAATCCCGCGACGCCTCGTGCTCTGTCATCATTTGTTGTGCATGAAAGAACCAGTCAGAAAACGAGAAATAATAGGGATGGAAGTACATGCATGGATCCTGTCGATCCATTCAAAGCGTATTGTTGTGCGATGCAAGACAGTGAGAAGAATAACAATGGATGAGACGAATTCATTTAAGTTTTCTTAGGTAGTCATCAAATCTTAACATGTTATGTTCGAAAAATGTTTCCACCATTTAATTAAATTTAAACCAAGTAATGATTAACATTGTACTGCGTTCCAGTGGTCAAATAGTGGAAGATCTGGATGCGATCACACATGCTTGGCTAGATGTCAACGAGAGGGGAAAACTTGATGTAAATTGATATGTTCCAAAATGACGACAAACATTTATTCATTATGTGTCATCGTGGTTATGTTTGAAAAATATTTGGTATTTTGCATAGAGTCATAGTAAAATGTGAATTAAGTGGCATTTTTTCACCATAAGCATGTATTATAAGTCAAACTGAATCTCCTGAATCTTTGTTAGCAAAATTTTTTTGAATGAATTAAAATATATATATGAAAATGGAAAGTTTTTCATTTCTTTCGGACATAACTATGATGGCATAAATGTGAACACAAAGACATTCAGAATTTCTTATTTCTGTGATTTTATATGCTCTTCATGCTTATGTTTTAAAAATTAAAGCAATGAGAAAACTATTAAAATAATTTTATGTTCCATAAATTACTTTTCAGGCTATTTTTCATTTTGTGTCATGGTTATGTTCAAAAGATATTTGATACTTTGCAGAGATCCATAGTAAAATGTGAATAAAGTGGCATTTTTTCATCACCAACCTGCATTATGAGTCAAACTGAATCTTCTGAATCTTTTGCTCAAATTTTCATACAACAGATTAAGATATAAAAATGGAAAGTTTTTCTTTTCTTACAGACATAACTATGATGACACAAATGCAAACACAGTGGCATTCAGAATTTCTTTTTTTGGTGATCCTCACCATTTTATATGCTCTTCATGCTTATGTTTGAAAATTAAAGCAATAAGAAAACTGATAAAATAATTTTGTATGTTCAAATTCTAAAAAAGGTTTTATCATAGTTATGTCTGAAAGAATTTGACTTGATGTTATGTAATGCCCATAACACAGCTTAGCACGTCACCTGTAGGTCTGTAAATACATGCTTTTGTAGGAGGAGATACATGAATAGAAAAATTTAAGTAAAAACGAAACACAAAAAACTTTATCATCAACCCTCTGAGCTACAGAGGTACCCATCTATTGGCAAAAGCTCACATATAAACTTTTCCTTTGGCTGCCTTTCCAACAACTATCAAGTACTGGGGGACAGTTCTGTTCAACAGTATTTCATACTCACTTGAGCAGTTCATAGTTGTGGTCATTGAGATGGGCAGCATTCTCGTGCCAGAACCGGTCAGATCGGTGCACCGGGCTCCATTCAAGGCGGCCAGACTTGACCTCTGACACATACTCGTCCAGGGAGCTGAAGATTGAGAGACGGACACAAGTGTGAAAAAACATACACTCACTTTCTCCAAAATAGGGAGAGAAAGAAAATGGGGGAGGAGAGAGGGAGGGAAAGGGGGTTGAAAGTGAAAGAGTGAGAGACAGTAAAGAGGCAAAGGGAAAACGAGAGGGTGAGACAAATACACAGACAGACTGAGAAGATCAGCAAGAGTGCGTGGTGTGGGTGCGGCAGGTACCTAAGATGTTTGATGGAGTCGTGCAGAGTCTCGGTGACAAACTTGAGGTCGGCCACAATGTCCTCGTCCTGGATGTGACGGCCCTCCTGGAGCTCAAGGTGCTTCAGGACCTGGGGATGGTGATGGTTGAAATGACAGTGATGGTGGTGGCAGTGGTTATGGTGGTGGTTATGACAGCGGTGGTCATGGTATGAAGATGATGATGGTTATAATGACAGTGTTGGTAGTGGCAGTGTTATTGATAATAATGATGGTGGTTATGGTAGTGATGGTTGGTTATGGTTGTGGTGGTAATGGTCATGATCATTGCATGAAGATAATGATGGTGATGGTAGTGGTAATGGTAAGAATGGTGGTGGTTGTGGTAGTGGTGGTCGTGGTTGTAGTGGTAATGGTGATGGTCATAGCATGAGGATGATGATGGTGGTTACGACAGTGATGGACGTGGTTGCGGTTATGATATTGATGGTGGTCATGGTAGTGGCGGTCATGGCTGTAGTGGTAATGGTGATGATCATGGCATGAAGATGACGACAGTTATGACAATGATGACGATGGTGGTTGTTATTGTTATGATGGTGGTGGTTATGGTAGTAATGGTGAAGTTCATGACATGAAGATGGTGACGGTACCATCACTCCTGATCATCACAATGATACTATTGGTAGCATCCCTCCTGATGAAGCCTTGGATACAAATCATGTAGGTGTTTTAGTTAATAAAAATTGTTTAATTACACTTATCGATAAAAAATTACTTCAGAGTCTTCCAAGGTTAAGGTGGTGATGATGATGGTCATTGTGGTAATGATGATGTTCATGACCATGATGGTGGTGACTTTCACATAATTATAGCTATGACCATATTATTGTATTTGTTTTACCAAAAGTGTAATACTATATCAGATATAAATGGCTCAAGACTCATCAAAATCTTAAGTTAATGATTATATTTTAATTCAATGAGCAAAGTGATCTCTCTTTTCTTTTACCCTTTCGCAGACAGACCTCACTGTTGAGTCCCAGAGGAGCTCACTTTGTTTAGTTTTAGTAAGAGTTTTACGGCACTTGCAACACAATAAGGTCATATAAGTGCCGAAGAATACATTATGTGTTACAAGAGAGTAACATACACAAAAAAGAAGGAAGGGAGATAAGGATGACAGATGTTTGATAGGAAAGAAGGAGAAATCCACACCAGAGAACCTGCCAACCACCCACTCTCACTTTGTAGATTGTCCAAAGTTTGGGAATAGAGAAGCACACTGACATAATTATGGCTGTTTAGTGAGGGGAAAAAAGATAAACAAAAACAACAAAGGGAAAGAAAAGAAGTAGGAATTGGTAGCAGAGCCCTGCAACTACCAGCAAACAAGTAGAAATATCCCCCCTCTCTTCCCTTACCTTGCACTGCACCATGGCGACAGCATGTTCCTGTTTCACAAGCTCTTCAGTCACTTTCTCCAGAAGATTCTGGAACAAGAGAATAGAGAGTTGTAGAGTTGTTGTTTTTAGAAAGTAGGCATAACTGATAAAAGCATTGTGATGCTACAATAATGGTCATTTAGTGATAAGAACAGGATTACTAGACAGCAATGATAATAATAATAATAATAACAATGATAATAATGTAGATCATTTCTATAGTGCCCACTCCCATGTGAACACAGCTCTAGGCGGTTTACATAAATGCATGTACAAATAATATTCACATACGCACACGTTTTAACTGTTATCACAATAGACCTGAACCTACAAGACATTTCGAGACACAAAACCCTCCTCAAAAAAATAAATCCACAGCCCAATCAACAAGTAAGATTCGCGAGCGAGCACATGGCAAAATAAAACCCAACCAACCAAAGGGAGAAAAAGGAACGAACTGGACTGCCAGCTGTCATGTAAGCTTTGTTGGCCAAATGATGTTTGCGGTCTATAGTAACGATGCCAAAATGCTTCAGCAAGCGGAAAAAGAGGAAAGCCAAATACATGATCGACGATGGCACATTAGGCCAAAATGGCAGATCAAAACTTCAGTCGAAAAGAAAGCGTTGGGCAATGATGAGTCTTTGTGACCATTACGACCTGTGTCCTAGTGATTTTTACCCCAAATACGATTCTACTCGATCTGACCCAAAAAATTTAGTGAGATTACACCAAAAAAATCGTTGAGGCGTGAGACTGGCCATGTTTTCGTGATTTTCATGCCAAAATCATGAGGGTTGGCATCTCTATTGTACAAGCGTCAATGACATACCAGTTCACTTTACACATACCCGGAATGTGGCCAGGACAATACGGGTCACTTTCTCCTTGATGGCATCGCTGAGTACATCTGCCAGGGTCGGGATGATGTTGCCCCTGATGAATACAACATGGTTGTCAGTATATTGTCACACTTCACGACATAAAGGTCAAAGGTTGAGGGTTTCAATTTCTTGTTGGCGCAGTGATGAAAATTGTTATCATCACAGCCAAATACTCTTTGAATGTCATATAATAAGTGTATACCCTGAAAGGATTTGAACAAAGGTCGACTGCATTACTGTAAATTTCCACTATACGCCATTTTGAAAATTGATGAATGACAGAGTCTTACAGGGAGCAGTCTAAATGATCTCCTCACTCAGTACAAGCGGCCATACTCATACACACACTGAATTATCACCATCATTGCCTTTCTCATCCTGGTTCAGGGTATAGGCCACGAACAAACACTTTCCACCTTTTCCTATCCTGGGCTAGCCTTTTGATGTGATAACATGTCTTCCCACTTTGCTGTACATCAACTTACACAAGACTATCCCTGGAGAAAAAAAGTTTCTGTGAAAATGTCAAAGTGTTTCTTACCATTATCAGAGGTTGTAGTTCACAACACCTCAGCACAGAAGGAACTGGTCTGGGTTATGGCAACACAGAGGAAGAATACGAAGAAGAAAGGGAAGGAGGAGAGTAAGAAAAACAAGAAGAGCAAAAACAATGCGACGACAGAGACTTCACCAGAGCACCCATCATTCACGAGTCCAGAGACCAGAGTGTCGTACTCACTTGTTCATCCTGTTAGCCAGGTCAGAGTTCATGGAGATACACCAGAGACAGAAGACCAGTTGGTACTGGACCTGGAAGCTGCAGCCTCCTGCCAGGACACTGATAATACTGGGGGGACAACAGAAAAGGAGAAAATGAACTTTTTAGTTTTAGTAAGAGTTTTACGGCACTTGCAACACAAAAAGGCCATATAAGTGCCGAAGATTAGAGGTGTTACAAGAGAGTAACAAACACAAAAAAAAAGGAGGGATAAGATGATAGATGTTTCATAGGAACGGAGGATAAACTACACCAAAGCACTTGCAAAGCAGCATCCACAAATAAACTTTTATTTACATTTGTGACTTTAGTGACAAATAGCAAGGAAAGAAAATACAATTCAATTAACACTACGATTGGAGAGCAACAGAGAAGAATGAAAAGGTAACTTTAATTTACACCGATGATACTGAGGAATGACAGGAAAGAAAGAAAATACCACTATCACTTATACTGAAAATGTTGAAGACTGACAGAAGAGAGAGAAATCCCTGCTAAAATGTATCTATCTAATACGAGAAATCCAAACTATTGTTCATAATCATCCCACTAGATGGACCCTCCCTCCCCAACTGAACTGCACCCCAAGTTCACCATAGATGCAAAAGAAAAACATAAACTTACGCGGAAATTCCATCGACCTCAACAAACACAAGCCTATAGTAGTCAATCCTCAACATCATCTGTAGACAGCGGCCAGCCGACAGAAGGTACTCGTTGTTCTAGGAAAATACAACAACAAAAATATGTTTCATATTTAAAAAATGTTATATCATAAACAGGTACCACTTGTTTTGGGGAAAAAGTATTTCAAACATGTTACATTTTTTAAATCTCGTTTTGTGTCAGTACATTTTGAACTAGAAATTTCACCTAGAAAGTCAACAAAGAACTGAAAAGAAAATTGAAAGGTATGAAAAGAACAGGCCGATACCAGCAGAGAGTTAATTTTTGTTTTATTGCAAAGATTTTTAAGGGACTTTTGGGAGTACATATCTTATGGCTCACCTTCAGTTTTCATTAAATGTCATTAAATAAGAATAAACAGTTTACTCAAAGAAAGACTTCACAACAACAACAAAATTATTAAAAAAGCATTCACAATTTCACTAAAAAAACGTAAGATATTTCTAGCTTCTCCTGTGACATTTCCATGCTGAGAAATACTTACAGGGACCTTGATCTGATCCTTCAGCCACACCAGGTAACTCTGCAGATTCTTGCGTTCCATCTGGTCCTTGGACCAACATGCAATCTTGGCGATGATACGACTGGCCTAAACACAGGAGCAGAATAATACCAAGCTTTAACCAATTCACCCAAAAGTGAATCAAATATAAAGGAAATGCAATAAAATAAGGAAAAAAATACAAAGGACAAGTACGGTAAGTTCCTTACTCAACTGACAAACATTGAGATGCAGATCATAAATACACTCAGAACACAGAAGAGTAAGCAGAGAAGTATTGTTTTAGTTTTGCATCCCTTAAAATGGTTTATATCATCAACATCTCGTTAGGTCTTCGTTCGTCGTTGCATAACAAACCATCTTACATTAGCAACTCTGCCAGGTCCTCTAGAGCCATTCCTGTCTAGACATTGATGTCATCTGTCTAGTGTCTACCTCTCTTCCTCTTTCCATTTGTGACTGATTCTAATTGAGTTTTTTTAAAGACTTCTGTGTCTCTATACATAGCCTAAATATTTCAGGCTTTTCTTGATTTCATTACAGTTTATTAAGAAAGCCTTCAAGTAAAATAAAATAAGACAGACGATCAGCATCCAACAAAAGCATTCTGAGTTCTGAGAACTTTAAAACTAAAAGATTTTAACTGAAAAGGTCAATGAAACGGTATCTAATGCACGCTTACCTGGTACACAATAAACTTGTCATCTCTGTCGAGTAGATGGAAAAATGGCTGCCATACTGACTCTTTCTTCTTACGAGCAAACTCTTTGAAAATTTCAACCCTAGACTTGTCCTCCTGGAGATTACAAAGAAAGTCATTAGTATTTTTCTTCTTCTCAATCTTGGAGCTGAGATGTTGCCATCATTGAGTTAGCAATGTGTGCACAGTTCAACCCATGGGTGTCCATCAACACAATTTAGATCATTTAAGAGGAAGGGTAAAGAAACTAGGCTCTTACCTATAAATATTTTTTGGAGTAAATGCAATGTCCCTTTTGTGCTATGGGTGGTTTGTAGTTACACTGCAGGGTTCACAACCGAAAGGTTATGAGTTTGAACCCCATCCCTCTATAATAAGGCACTTTACATGAATTTTCCTCAGTTTCCCCTGGTGGGAATTGGTACCTGGCTATAGACAGTGAAAGATCTTGTTAGTTTGTTAGTGTTCAAGCACTTGATTAGCTACTTAAACTATATGCTTCCCAGGAAGCTTGGAACATTTCTCAGTCTTCTAGGATCCGTTGGGGCAATAATTGTTGAAAATAGCACAGAGCATGGATATGCACTATCCAGGCGAACCTGCCATGGCAGCTACCTGTATAATACGGCCATATGTACAAATGGCCACTTTCCACCCCCCCCCCCCCCCCCCCCCCCGTTTGCGTTTTTCCTATTTAAGTTAAGGCCACCTTTATTCTCACCCCATGTCTCTCTATTCTTACCCCCCCCCCCTCCCCCAGTTGAGAATTGCTCCCCGGACCCCGGAGTGGGCATGAGGCGAGGACTCCCTCCCCCCCCCCAACCTCTCGCAGGCCAATAAAATCACCTTGGCCTTTGATGACTTACCGTATGTGATCAGGAACGAATAATAATAACGTAAAAACATTTTTCTCCTCTCCAGTTAAAAAAAAAGGCTCACAACCAACACTGAGAGGGATGTGGGACCGGCCGCACCATTCGTTGTTTACACACTTAAACGATGGCTAGCCTCTCTGCACACAATACATTATGGTTCAAGGAACAGGGAGCGTGTATGAAAGTAACAAGACACGAGCACGAGACCATGCTCTTGCATGACGGCTGAAGGGTTGTAAATTATTCAGACCAAATGGGCGAGGGCGTTAAATTGTGTTAACTAGTTTAATAATTTTAAGCAATAGAAGCTCTTTTCTTCACTTTCATTTTTTTCTTCTTCTTTTCTTCTTTCTTTTTCTTTTCTTTTTTCTTGCCTCTTCTGTCCTCTTCTTTTTGAACATTTGGAGTGCAGAGCCAAAAAAGAACCAGAGAGCCAAATGAAATTCTCCCGGCTAGACGTGATCCAAAAGAACCAAATTTCTGGGATTTGGCTCCAATTTCACAACCCTGACGGTGATTAGATCTAGATCTATGTCTATTCGGACACCAACACGACCTGTGGATGTGGAGCATTAGCCCCGATAACCTCAGTCCTGATCCCTCTTAGGTCATTTCCGGAAAAACAAGGGAGGGGGTGAGAATAGCGAGACATAGGTTATTCTCACCCGGGGTGACAATAACCACTTCAATAAGTAAACTGTGTAAAACGGTCACCTATCAAACAGGGCCACGGCCATCTTATTTTATCAACCCACGGTAAAATTTACCTGCCTTAGGCGGTCAGGTGTGGTCACTCATCGCCCGACGCTTTGTCATAAATTTTGAATTGGCCCCTCATGCTGCAGAGGGGTCGTCATAATTCATTTACCTGCCGTTATCTTTAGTATCTCCAACGAATGTTTACTGAAGCTGACCAAAGGGAAGGCCTAACAAATAAATTTTCAACTGCTGGTAAGAGAAGCGTGATCCGCCATGACCTGTAAGCCCCGCCCACAACTCATGCACAAATCATGTGTGAGGTGACTTGTCCAGTTTTGTTTACCAAATGCGTAACAAAGTTACAATGGAAGTTGATGTGAACTTGTGACAAACGCATCGTTCTTTCTCCAAGTGGTGGCGACTCGTGTGTTTGTTTTACTACGGCACTCTGTCTTCATCGTCTTACTTTACAATACTTCGTTAATTTTACTCTTGCATAACATAACTCTTCCATGACAGCTGGTGGCCATTTTACACAGGTTTGACTGTATAAATGTAAATTATCATTGTTACATGTTTTGTTATAATTTATTAAACACCCTTAATAAGGCCTTTTTATCCCAAGTGAGCCAAAACCTACCTGTAAAACATCATCGAGAAGGGTAAGGACATACTGCAGAGTCTGATCCCGAGAGATGCCCTCCATCAGCATGCGGAACACCACCACAAACTTCAGAGACACATAGAAAATAAAGTAAAAAGAAATTTAGATCCATACCAATACTGTATTTTGATCTCTATAAAAGATAACATACAACTTTTCACAACTTTTCTTGATGATTCAACGCTTTATCTTTTTATAATTGTACTGTCCAGACAGGGAAAGCAAAAAAAAAAAAAAAAAAAAAGGACCACGACAAAGATGGAAAAAGACAAAGCACAAGAAATATTACAATGTCTTAATACTAATCAGCTAACTATCCTGAAAGCACAACATACCCAGTGAACTTAAGATAGTCATTATCAGCAACACTGCATCCCTCCGCCTCCCTTCCCTCATCAAACCAAAGAGACAAACAAAATTTAGGTCCAAATGCTATAAAAGAAGAAAATGCTGCAAGCACTTGCTGTCAGAACTGTACCTGGTTTGGGTTTTCCTTCAGCATTGTCTCTCTTGCCTCTGCTGAAGCTTTGTCAAAGGCAGAAATGAATTTGTACACCTCCTCCGATATCATCTGACCCCTGGAAACATGCAAAGATAAAAACAAAAATGTTTTGGTTGGGAATACCAAAAAAAAAATGAATACATGGGGCATGATGATGGGAGAAGAAAAGAAAAAAAAGGGCTCATTTCACATACATATATGTATAACATAGCTTAACCACTCCCCCAAACCTCTTTTCCTTTCCCAATAAAGATGACAGTAACTTTTTTTTTTTTAAATTTAAAAAATAAAAACGTACACAATTAGAATTGAAGACAGAAACAGAAACATTCCACTTACTGCAAGTATGACTTCCAGTTGACATTGTTTTTTCGAACAACTTCTGCATGTTCCTGTAGCTTGGAGGTGGGAATCTGACCACCTGTAAAATTTATAAATGAAATAAAATAGCTGTTGTAAATAAAATACCTCTGATTCCAGTAAATGTATCAGCAGACTGGAAAACACAGTTAAAGTTCAATTTCAATTTCACAGCACTTTAAGATCTAATCAAATATTATTATTATTATAATTGCCACAACAAGATTCCAATAAATAAATAATAAGAAAAAGGCAATTAAATAAAATTAATCTAAATATGGAGGGAGCGGTGGTGGAGCAGTTAGAGCGCTCGTCTCCGAAGCGGAAAGTCCGGGTTTGAGCCTCGGTCCGGACAAGGATTTTTTTCGCCCCCTCCCGCTCACCCAGAAGTAATGGGTACCTGTCTTCCAGTTGGGGAAGTAAAGGCGGCATGGAAAGGAACTGGCCACCCTACCACAATATGCCCCACCACCATTTGTCTTTCCACATGTTAAATTTCATCGCACAAAATCGACAGCCATGGCCTCTTCCCAACACCAGCTGGGGAAAGAGGTGTTAGCCTAAAAAGCGTGCAATTTTGTCTGTGGGCAATCCAGAGAGAGAAAGAGAGAGAGAGAGAGGAGTAGCGCGAGAACTTCCGGGCAAAACAAAATGGCGACCCGCGTAGTTCGGCTCGATTCGGAAAGTTAAATAGCCGTAGCATCTTTGTAGACAACCAAATTAATTTAGTTTTCTTGTTCAAAATGATTTTTTAACTTTGTTTTGGTCAAACCGATAGACAGTATTCAGAAAGAGACAGAGAGAGAGAGAGGGGAGGAGTAGATCTTGCGAGAACTTCTGGGCAAAACAAAATGGTGACCCGCGTAGTTCGGCTCGATTCGAAAAGTGAAATAGCCATAGCATCTTTGAAGACGATCAAATTAGCATACACTTTTGTGCTATGTAATTTTTTCTTGGCTTTTATCAATTTGATCGTCCACACCGATAGACAGTATTCCAAAATGAAGAAAAACAGGTCTTGTTTCACACCGGGTGAGAATAGCCTACGCTGGCAAGTCTCACCCGGGATGAGAGGTAGATCGTATTTCTATTCTCACCCCGGGTGAGAATAGCCACTTCCTTTTTCGGGGGGCCACCTCTATTCTCACCCGGAGTGAGAAGAGTGCAGGCGAGTCTTGTGGCTATTCTCACCCGGTGCGCGTTCACCAAATTTTGCGTTCACCCTAAACCACAGAATTCTACACTGTGATAACAGAAAAATTGTAGAATTCTGTGCCGTGAACAAACGTTCCATTACAACTGTAGCCTACTAAACTAAAAGCGTACAATTTTGTCTGTGGGCAGTGGAGAGAGAGAAAGAGAAAGAGAGAGAGAAGTAGCGTGAGAATTTCCGGGCAAAACAAAATGGCGACCCGCGTAGTTCGGCTCGATTCGAAAAGTTAAATAGCCGTAGCATCTTTGTAGACAACCAAATTAATTTACTTTTGGGTTTTAACATCATTTTTAAACTTTGTTTTGGTCAATTTGATCGTCCACACCGATAGACAGTATCCAGAAAGAGACAGAGAGAGAGAAGAGGGGAGGAGTTGATCTTGCGAGAACTTCCGGGCGGGTGAGAATAGCCACTTTCTTTTCGGGGGGTGCCTGAGTGAAGTGTGTTGCATTTTTTGGGTTCACAGTTGTCTATGAGGAAACAAGACGGGTGTGTACCATTATTTGGGTTCAAAGTTTTACGTGAACCCAGATACAAATAAATACAACAGGAAAACGGGGAAAATGAAAGAAGTCAAGGTCATGAAGGGAGCGAAGCATTTACCATGTCCGTGCACCTGCTCAAGGGGCCCCAAAAACTAATAAAAGCACTCAGAAGTTACTACAGTGTACGTAGACACTGAGACTACGTGTCTGGTTTCCGTGTATGTAGATAGTCTGTTGATGTAATTCAAATGCAAAGTCAAGGGTATACAATCAAGTATCACGAGACAGGGGGCAGCCGGGTAGAGCTTGCTGAATTAGAATTGATTGATGGTGTCAAACTAGATCTATCTCAACTTGACAACACTTACCTTTATTGAACCTTTCAAGGTCTTCGATGACATGACTGGCGGCCTCGCCTGAAGCCATTTTCAACAGAGGTTAATTTTGTAACTTTTGAAAGTAAAAAAGGGATACCAAAGAGCAGGCGTTCTGCAACAAATTAGTATTAAACTCTGCTGTTCACTGTTCTTCCAGTTGTTGATGATAATATTCCAAGAGTGATGTCCCCTTAGTCATATGATTCGGTAACGGAAGATATCCGGAGAAACAGGAAATCGGCTTTATCTTTTTTTAAATGTTACTAGTATTATTATTAGAGGGTAATGAAGGGCAGCCAAGGACCTTACAACAAATTAATGGACCCTCCTTTCTCTTTTCTTTTGGTGGCACAGTGCGCAGCACACCCTGTGGAACATACAAAATTTTGCCAACCATGGTCATCCAGTGCGAACTGCGGTCTTTTATTTACAAAGGATATATTATTATATAGGCCTAGCCTAGTATAGGGCTGGGCAGTGGACTCGGTATGGGAGGGAATAATTAATTATATTAAGTGCAAAAAAAAGAGGAGTGAAGTCAGTGAAGGTGGTGGTGCGGGCCTGGGGAAGTAAAATGGAGAGAGAAAATGTAAAAAGAAAATGTAAAAAGAAAGAGAGAGAGAGAGAGAGA